TTCTTTAATCAGCATTATTTCATTACACAAGAAGAGTTCTAATGTAATGTCTGACCTGCAAAATCAAAAGGCTTTAAAACAGAAAGAGCCAGTAAGCCATCATACACACTTCATTGCATTGAGGCTCAGAGATGTGTAGTGAGGTGACCAAGGCCACGGATCCAGGTAATGACACACTGGTCCATAACTGATGCCTCATAATTCCTTAACTAGGACTTCTCTCATAAAATGCAAAGTCTTGTGCAAATTTGTCATCCTAGGAGAGTTTACCTTAATAAACATTAAGATTCATTCATGTGTGTACGTTAAAAACACATTCCTATGGTAAGGATATACCTGTGAAGCGGACATAACATTTCTTCCCAGGTCAAGTTACGAAGTATGGGCATCAGACTCACAGAATGTTGCTGTGAGGCAGAGATTCTTGCCATATCCAGGAATACTTTAATGTCTTTTTTAAAAAAAAGATTGTAAGTCAAGTCGGCACCGTGATGGAAAAGAACAAGTAACCTGTGGACAGAGGCAGGCGCGCTCTCGAGAGCTCTCAGCGGAAGGCCTTCTGCCCGCGGAGGAGGAAGCGGGTCACCTGCAGGAGCCGCGTGGCAGCACAGCCCTTTCCACTTGAGTCTGTACGTGCTTCTTCCTTTCTGCTGGATTCAGACACTACTCTCTAGGTCCAATGTCAGGAAAAGAAATTGGAATGTAGGTAAAAGATTTCATATTGCAAAAGAAATCATTAGAATTGGTGACTCTGGGTCGAGTCACCGACTGGGTTAAGTTTTGTGGGCCAAATTTGGTTCTAGCACAGCAAGTAATTTGAACTGGAACCTGTTGTATCCAAATATTATAGACCAGAAGTCTTGTTTAGGAGAAGGGGTTGACCACCAGCATGTCCAGCATGCGTTACCAGGGCAGCACAACTCTATCACCACTGCAGTCTAAGCAAAAGACTGAAACCAAAGGCTCGCTGGACTGGGCAGGACAGGTTCTCAGCAATTCAGTTAGCAGCACTTGTAAAGTAACGTGTGCTACAGCGACACGTGACTGGGGACACGAGCAGGCACGCTTCAGCCCTCCGACTCTTCTGCAACACACACAATTAGAGGAACTGACTCGTCTGAGTCGAGGAAGCAGAGGGCTCTCAAATAAGCAGGGAGGCGCTGAGGGCAGCCCTCGCAGGCGGGCTGGGTGAGCGCAGGAGCGGGAACGGTGCGCGCAGGAGAGACCTCGTCTACTACAGCCACAGTTTGTCTCCTTCACAATATGTTGCTTTAAAAATTTTTTAAAATTCTATATTTTTAACTGAAGTTCATTAGTGTCATAGTTTTAGATTCCACATATGAGTGACATCATATAGTATTGTTTCTTTCTGTCTGACTTAACTTCACTTAGTAATGATGATCTCCAGGTCTATCCATGTCGCTGCAAATGGCATTATTTTATTCTTTCTTATGGCTGAGTAGTACTCCATTACATATATACATATATACATATACATGTATACATACACACACCTATCTCACAGCTTCTTTATCCAGTCATCTGACGATGGACATTTAGGTTGTTTCCATGTCTTGGCTGTTGTAAATAGGGCTGCTGTGAACACTGGGGTGCATGTGTCTTCTTGAATTGTGTAACAATCATCATAGCCGATTTTAGAATCAACTTCATACTTATACTGATTAAATTCCAGGGAGATGGAGAAACATGACTCCCATGTAGTTTTGTTCCCTTATCCCCATTTTTGTGCTAACTTATGTTACACCTAAAAAATTAAAAACAGTGTTAGAACTGTTCCTATAATCATTTCTTTATGAAACTTCTTAACTTTTAAAGAAGCTGAGAAAGGTAGAGCGAGTATAGGGTATTTTTACAGTGTCTGTGAAACCAGCATTCTTATTTACAATCTGTGCTTCTTTTAGTTGGTTCCTGTGGTCTCAAGTTACCATCTGGTGTCTTTTTCTAACCTAGTTCATCCTTGTTCACACCAATCATCTTCTTTGTGCTGCTCTTGTGAAGTGTATGTCCATACATTAGCGGCCCAACCACACATTTATATCTCTTGTGTTATACAATCATCTTTAAATCAACTGAGAGAAAGAAAGAGACAATAATGCATTTATACAGTCTTTTGTAATTTTGGAGTTATTCTAAGCCATGTGTTTGCTTTTTTATTTCTTTCTTGTGAATTCAATTTACTGTGTGAGATCACTTTCAGTGGCAAGAAGTTCCTTCGGCATTTCTTGAAAAGCGGAGCTGTTAGCAATGAACTGTTTGAGTTTTTATTTGGTTGGGAATCTCTTTAACCTCACTGTCAGCTTTGAAAGACAGTTTGCCTGCGGTCAGTTCCTTGGCTGACAGATTTTTCTTTCATTGTTTCAACGTTCCATCTGCTGCCTCCTGGCCCCGTAATCTCTGTCCCTAACGTAGGTTCCTGGGGTCCCGTTTAAGAACCTCAGCTGGTTTTCTCCTGTCGCTCTCAAGATTTTACCTTTGCCCTTGTGTTTTACCAGCTTTACATTTTCACTCTCATGGGTCTGGCTGTGGTTGCTCTGTGCTCATTCTACTTACATTTCACTGAGCTTGAATGTGTGGATTCATAGTTTTCACTGATTAGTTTTCATACTTCTCGGCTGTCTTTTCGAACATTTTTACTGCCCCTTTCTCGCTCTGTTTCCTGTCATTCCCAGTACCTCACGTTCGTTGTTTTCTTCTCTTGAACCCTTTGGCAATATTTTCAGAGTTTACATTTGGTTCTTTGACATTACGTTTTATTTCTTGTTGATACTGTCTATTTGACAAAATACTTTCATATCTTTCTTTTCTTCTTTAAGTGTTGTTTCCTTTAATTCTCTGAACACGTTTATAATAACTGTGAGGCAGTCACTGTCCGCTGGGTGCCACATCCAGGATTCTCACAAGCACTCTGTTTCCTGCTTCTTCCTACACTTGGGTCACAATTTACTATTTCTTTGCATGTCTAGTTTTTTTCTCTTTTGCTAATAACTAGATGTTTCAGACAATATATCATCTCTGGATTCTGTTTCCGTTCCCCTTTCTGGGGCTGGTTGGTTGGGGTTTTTCAGAGCTCTCCCACTAGCACCCCTCTCCCCTGATGTGTGCAGCCCCAGCGCTGCCCCTCAGAGGCATGTCCTTGGCTGCACACAGCTGCCTTCTGAGGTTCATGCTTTAACAGGCTCTGAACATTCATTATCCCTTTTTTCTCTCTTAAGGTGTTTTCTTCTTTCAACATCACAGAAAACAGCACAGAAAAGTGTGTCTAACTCTGTTACTCCAGGCCTAATAAAGAGGGAATATTGATAACCAATGAAGCAACCATCTGTCATATTCTTCCTCCCACATTCCTCAGCTAGCCCTCCTGCATTTGCAAATTCAGGAGACATGTCTAGCCTAAAAGTACAAAGTGAATAGAATATAGTTGGGTATATTTGTACCAAGCATATTCTAAGGTTATTAAAGGATTGTTTTTTATGGATTATATCCTAAATGAATGAGTTCTAAAATTAATAATATGTAGCAAGTTTTACATTGATATTTAAAACCAAAATTCAACTAATTAAAGGAGGGAATGCATGAAAACTTTTGCCCATATAAGAAACCATAGATGTTGTTACTAAAGATCCGTATTTAATTAAACTCCAGAGGAGATAAGTAAACCTAAAATCTCAGATCTGTAAAATTCTTGTTCTTACCAGGGAGATGCATTGATTGTACCTTGGACTCTCCGTTCATTACATTTCTTTGAATTTTTTCTGCCAACCATTCTACCTTAGTCCCTGTAGGAAGGAACAAATTTCAAAACACTTTGCATGGTAACCATTTACATACTGATATGTGTGCTTGCACATTTGTGGGGGGCTAATTTAATCAGCATTTTTTATTGTGGAAGATGACTTATGTTGAACTGTCTGGTTTACAGAATCACAAAACCTTACGTTGGAAAAGATTAAGCAATTATATTAGCCATGTTACATTGAAGTTTAGAGATTTTCAGTAACAGACCAAAACCAAATACCCAAGGAATGACAAAACTGCATAATTTCTTGCTAGTGTTTTTTTTCTATAGACTGCTCTCTCTTACGCAAACTGAAATCATCCCAGAGAATTTCCAGGTTTACATTAAAAGTACATTTATTCTGTAGGGATCCTGATAAGGCAGAACTTAGTATTTTTTCCTAACAGGACAAGATGGAAACCAATCTTCTTAGTCACAGAAACTTAGCTTGAGCCAGAAATTCTCTTACTTAACCCAGGAGAATTTTAATACCATTTAGGCTATGTAACTGTAAATCACGGATGGAGGCATCACTGGGTTGGGAGAAGGTGCCTCTGAGGTTCCTCCAGCATGCAGACCTTACATCTTGCCTAGCAGAGGAAATGGTGAAATTTGTTCCAGAGCCAAGACTCTGACTGGATCCATTTCCATTTGAGTTCTTCTGTGATTTGAACTTTTGGCAAATAATTAACAACTATTAACTACGTTCAATGACATGTAGAACTCCTGGGATTGACTAAGAAGGTATTCATACTGAGAAGGGATGACCAGGACTGGGACCGAGAGGGGACGTCCTGGGTATGCACACGTGCACACGAAGCCACAATCTCTACTGCAGCTGCCATACCGTCAGTGGGCTGCAGTTTTAATTATACAGGGATATGCGTAATTAATGAAATAACTATCTGTTAAATTCCTCTTTCACTCTCATCCATAAGGTTGCAGTTCTGCTTCTGCAAATACAAGACAGCTTCCCTTCCCTGGCCTGAAAAGCAGAGTGAGCACGGTAATATCTGACATGCTTCCGTCAAGCACGTTCTAAGCTCACTGTGTCACTGAATACTCATGGACCATTTCTGATTGAATCAATTCTGAAATTGGCACTCAGCAGCTAGTGCTCCAGTGGTCGGCACTGCTAGAGCTCCCGTGACTACGGGAGGGAATCAGGGAAGACTTGTTACCCCGCAGTAACAGCAGACAGGTGCTGCAGCCGTAGATGAGCCAGACTGCAGCTAACTCCAGAGTAGGCGCGTAAGAAACAGGCTTCAAACATTCTTGTTCTTACCAAGATGACTCTTGGACCATGTCTTGATTTCAGTCTTCGCAATACCTCTTCCAATAATATCTGGGAAGGGTTCTGTATTAGTCTCTATAGAAATAAACAGTTGTAAAACACTTTTGTAAGACCAATAGTAAAATGTGTATTTTGTGTGTGTGTGATGTACCCTTTAATTAGACCTTTTTATTACAGAGAAGAGTTAAAATGAAATGTCTGGAGTGCAGAATCATAAGACCTTAGAATCGGAAGGGACATGAGCAGGCATACAAGGTTCATTATGCTGAGGCGCAGAAGCGTTCAGTGAGGTGACCAAGGCCATGTAATCAGGCAACGACAAAATGGGCCATACACTGACGCCTTGTAACTCCTTACTTAGGGCTTTCTGTATAAAATCCAAAGGCTTTGGTAAATTTAAGTCTCCTAGAGAGTTCCTCTCATAAATATAACCCTCATGTATACAATGAAAACACATGCACATGGTAAGGACGTGCCCTGTGAGGCAGGACGGGCACTTCCCCTTTCTGTATTTCATCTGTGCTCTCCTTTCAGCTCCTTTCCTCCTAGCAATTTTTATTGCTCAAATTTTATTTAGAGCATTTACTTGTGTATTTACCACTAATAATGTAATTAAGTTAATTTTGTTCTTAAATTTTATTTTCTGTTGAAGTGTACTTGACTTACAATGTTGGTTTCAGGTGTACAGCAAAATTATTCAGTTATACATATTTATACACGTATTTTTTTCTTTTCAGATTCTTTTCCATTGTAGGTTATTACAAGAAACTGAATATACTTCCCTGTGCTGTACAGTAGACCCTTGCTGTTTATTTTATATACAGTAGTGTGTGTCTGTTAATCCCCCCAAGAAGACATTTTAAATTGAAGGGATGTAAATGGTAGCACTTCACTGCTGTCACTAAGGCTGTCATTCAAAGCTGAAAAGCAACTAAATCAGAAACTGAGAGAACCCAGACGACAATATGCTGACAATTAAAGACACAGGAAAATGGCTCATCACACAGACCAAGTCTGTCAGAGTGAAACACAGAGAAGGTTTCATTTTTACATCACCAGCTTTTCCCCAGTTAAAAGTAAGTATTTTTATTTGATTCACTTTTTAACAATACTTTTTAAGGAACAAAAGTGAGTATCTGAGAGTTCAGCTACTTTCAAATTCTAGCTTTCAAGATCAATTCTTCATAACTACAGAATTTCTTGCATCAAAGAGAAATGTATCTAACACTATGATAATCCAGGACTAAGGCAGTGTCTGTGAGTCATAAAACTCAGCTAGAGAACGCCACTAGTTCTCTAAGAAACCATGAGATGAAA